CACCCAAGGTCGTAGGCTTCCACCGGCTAAACCGGGTGAGGTTGGTGCTCTGTAAAGCGCGTGCGCAAATCTGGCTTTTTGGAATCTGACAATACAGAGATTCCACTCTGCCACTAATATTTGAATATACAATAGCAATCTTATCTTTTTTTCACGTGTAGTATAGAAATTTGTAACAAGATACATAATGCGGTTATAATAAAATATTGTGCGATTATTTTCATATAATTAAAATTAATATGTATTTATTTTTTATAAAATATAAGGGAAGCGGCGCTTCCACCGCTTCTAATGACGGCACGCCATTGTGCCCTGCAGAACTACATTATCAATATACAGTTCAATGACAATATCCATGTGAAAACAACACTTAAGATTTTCTTCAAAGAAAAACTCGTCATTCTATGCTCAAGGGATTAAAAGTTTGTAGCAAAGATGGTAAGATGTGATTGATATTGATGGTGATAATTACCTACAAAACTGAACTATAATCATTATTGAATTAACTGTCAATGAAATTTTTTCAAATTGTCAAAATTTCACTCTTACAACCTGGTTGTGTGTGTGTTGTGAGTGTGCGCACATGTGCTTATACACGTATTTGTGTTGACATCTATTTTGTTTAATATCTCAGAAGGAGATAAAAATTAAGAAATGAAACTTGGCATGATAAGTTGTATATAACGGGCATTTAATGCTATTAAATTTTGATGATTAAAGGTCAAGAGGTAGGAAAATATGGGTCATATCTCAGCTGGGGTAAGGCTTAATGAAAATTTTACTCATTATTAGCATTCAAAATATTTTTAGAAACTAATTTCTATCCTCAAAATTATGCCTTTTGCCCTTTCATAATAATTAATAATATAAAAGTTATTTTTAAATAACATCTCATAACATATGGCACTTGTTGCTGAATTTTCTTAACAAATATCAATTCTTACTGAATAAATATTTATCTTAAAAACCTTTTGCTTTAATTTTTCTAATCTTAAATTCTGTTTTTCTTTTTCCATTTCTTTCATTTGTAATCTTTCTTTTACTTTTTTCTCTTTTTCTTTATCTTTTTCTTGAAAATATTGAATACTGTAATTTATATGATTGCTACTATTTTTTACATCTAAGGATTCATTCATTTTCAATTTATGTTGTTGGTATTTCCTTACTTTTTCACAATTTCTTTCCTATAAAATAATTTGAATAATAATTCTATATAATGAATCCTAACTGAGAAAATATTTTTAATCTTTTTTATAAATTAAATAATAAATATCAGAAAAAGTTTTAGATAACTATAAAATATTAAATTAATATTAAAATATAATTACAATTTTAATTGAAATTTTCATTTAACATTATCAGAATCAAAAATATTCTTTATTTTAGAGTTCACAAGCTTTATTGTAAATATACTCATTAACAAAATAAGTTGTGCACTCAACCGATTACTGCAAAACTCAGCTTAAATCTGACACAGAGAGAGAAGTAAATAATTACAGTTGTGATTTTATTGCACATCAGCTAATTCCACTAGTCTCTTAAAACTGCTATCCAAGTACTCTGTAAAAAGCCTTGAAGAGATTTGTTGTATTTAGAATTTTCAGTGTATCTGTTGTTTAGAGGTTTTTAAATGTCAGGCATGCCTGTAAGATGCAGTCAAAAACATTGTGTATAGCTCATGAAGTTTGAGAAAAGATACATCACAGGCTGAGGAAAGCAGGATGGTTATTTTGCTGAATTGCCCACCATCTGGGTTTTCCTGATCTGACTATGAGGAGCTGTTGGGGGCAGTGAATATGTGAGAGCATACATGTTGATTGTTGGGCTGCAATTTGAAAAAATTTAGACCTATAAATTCCGTCTGCCTGCTGTCTGTCCTTCCTTTAATCTTGAGAATGGTGTTAGATGAAAGTCAAGACCAGATGAAGGCTCCAATTAACTATGTACGAACTTCTAGTTTGCATGGTCAAGTTATTTCAATTCAAAAATTACCTCTGAAAGGAGTTAGACAGATGACTGGCACTACTCTATTGCTAACAGGATTTACAGTACAAGGACAAGATACTACTAATTTGAGGTGGAGTTAAAAATTGCAGCCTGACATTGTGACAATGCCACAATAAATAATTGCTAATTAAGCTTGTAGGAGATTATGATATAACTGGTTAAAGAACAAGAAAGTTTGTATATAGTTAATCGGGGTCTCCTGCCGCTATGCTTTTCATATCTGGTCTCCACTTTCATCTATCTAACAGTGTTCTCAAGATTAAGGAAGGACAGACAGAAAGACAGAAGACAGTGGGAATTTATAGATATACAATTTTTTCAAATTGCAGCCCAACAAATAGGTTATGTAAACAAAGAACAAAAGATAATACAGTAGGGTCTTGAAAACTCGGCCTAATGTGGACCGAAGGGTAGCCGAGTTTGTGAAAATGCCGGGTTACCTGGAATGGGGTTAAAAAAATATGTATGAGTGTTTCCTCAGAAAATACTGTACTGTACTTGTATGTATTGTTTACTTGAGAATACAACAGAGAATAAACTGCCCAAATACCCTTAAACAAAGGAAAAGTACATTCTTTATGAAGGCCTAGAGCTTTTACTACATGAAAATGAAAATTAATGAATACACTGTGTACAATAATTTACCTGATAAGACAGACCTCAGAAAAATACTTTATGAGGCATAAAGCTGTCTATTATGAATGTCNACCTTGTACACAGAACATTATTCTAATGCTTTCTAATGCTTTGTGACAATTTTCAAATCCATGTCATCTATTATCATACATTTATCCCATCCCACCTAAAAAGTGAGACATAGTAAACATTATTAAAATTTGCTCACAGACAGAAGTACTGTATGTATGAATTTAAATCTACAAATTTAGTTGCATATTACAAGTGCTTTTAACATGCGTAATGCATATTTCCAGTATTTTAACATGCACATATCTGGTCTTAGTAATCATAAGCCTTTCTGTCTCCCAAAGAAGCAACCCTGAGCTACATAGCACTCTGATGATCCCTGCCAAATACTCTTGGCTGAGATCATTAGAATGCTTACCATCTTCCTTCTGGATCCAAGACTGATTGATGGTGTCTGTGTCTTTTATGTATTATGTTATATGTATATAAGTTTAGTACAGATTTAATGAAATAGTGCTTTTATCTGAAAGAGTTACAGCTTTGTGTAATTGTGATGCTTTTTGTTTTTATAGAAAAACTGTCACATTTAGTGTTGTGAAGATTTACTACATCTGAAGTGCCTCATCCTCTCTCTTTATGTGGAAGAATCCACATTTCTATGAAAGATTTAGGATAGTGTTCATTAATTTTAAGTAATGTTGTTTATGTTTTCTTTCTAAGTTGATCTATTGGTCCATGTGTGTCCAATATATAACTCCAAATGAATGCGAGTATTTGGACAATTTGTGTTTATTGCTTCAAATGTGTATTTTGCTTTCAGTTCTGTTGTGAGTATAAAATGAAATATTAAAAATAAATATTACCTTCCAAAGTGCAATAGCTTTTAACTTCTTGGTTCTTATCATTTCATCATTTAAATTATTTTTCATCCCTACTAATTTTTTTTCTTTTTCATATATAAACTTTTTTGTTTGTTCCTTTAAACAAAAATAAGGTGAATGATTAATTTAATTTAATATATAATATTCATATTATTCACAAGTCTAACATTTTAAGTCAATTAATTTTTAACTCATAGATAATATATTTTAAAAACATTAAACATTTATAAAAAAATAAATTATAATAAACATTGATTATTTCAGTAAAATAAAGTGATAGTAGAAACTCATAAGGTTAATTAATCTGTTGACTTTGTAGTACTGTACTGTACATTAACAAATTCAACTAGTTATTATTTTTTAAAATGTGTTGATGTAATGCAAAAGAGCTACCATTATGCCTAAATCCTTATATTACTTATATTAGAGCTACTATTGATAAACAATAACAGATGTCTATTAAAGTCAATAAATCTTTTAGTGTGTGTAATCCTTAATTCTGAAATCATAGAAAACTGCAAATTTATGGTAAAGTGCTTATAAATTCTCTATCTATTTTAATTTCTGTTAATGTGAAAGCTTTTCATGTATTATGTTTGTTATTTGGTTATGTCTATGTAAGTATAGTGGTACCTCGGTATACATCTGCTTTAGAATACATCCAATTCGGAATACGTCCTGTTTGGACAAAACAAATTTTGCTCGGTATACAACTTTTGTTCGATATATGACTTAATTCAATTATACGTGCCATCTATGAACAAGTAGTACTATCGGTGTATTAGACCAGACTAGATGTTCACGGTGCCACAGTTTATAACTTTGTTAAATTTCTTTTTATTTTAATTTGTAAGTAAAATGTTATTATTTTTATTAATC